TTCGGTGGCAGCGGAGGAATTGGGGTTCCTCCCAGGCCCCACCCCCCGCACCCCATCCCGAGGTCCCAGGGCCTGAGCATCCTGGCTTCCCAGGTCCCGTTTCTCGGGATGTGGTTTGGAGTGACCCCGAGCGGAGCGGGCCCCAGGGGAAGCCTCAGGAGGGACCCCCGCGGTTTGATGTCATTTACGAGCACCGCTAGGCAGTGCGAGGCGCCGTCCCCGGAGTCGGCGGACGCAGGGGCGGGCTCTGTGAGGCTGTGTTCGCCGCCTTACGGATGGGGACACTGCGGTGTGAAGTTCATGGGCGCATTCAAAGCCGCCCGGCCGGGCAGCTGGTGGAGCCGAGCTTCTCCCCTGGCACCTCTGCCCGCGCAGCTTCCCCGCCCCGAGACGGACGCCCCCGAAGCCCAACTTCCTCCAGGAGCCCCCAGCGTAGGAGGTGGACCCGCGGTGGGGACCGACGCGTAACGGATGGGCGCTTCCGGGGGTGGGGGTCCAGGTTAGAGGTGACCCCAAGGGGCCCAGTTTTCTCTGGCTGCACCAGAGGAGGCTCTGATGGGTGGTCTAGACAGGGGTTCTGGTGGCGAGGGTGTCGGTGACCTCAAAACCCAGTTATGGAAGTAACTCCCGTCTGTTGGTGGTTTGACTAATGTGGTGCCAATGGGCATCACATTGTTTAATTGGTGTCTCTTTGATCATCTGGGAGGCGGAACTTGTCACTAGTTTAAACTGAGCAGCTTCTAATTATCTAGTCACCTTCCAGCGAGCCCGCTGTCCTGGAATGAGGCAGGAAGGCTGTACCCAAAATCAAGTGGGCGACAAGCCGCTTTTGCATCCTGTCTTCCCAGGGAAGAGGAGGTCTTCGGCTGGCAGGGGCGGGCCTCTGGCAGGCAGGAGCTGCAGCCTTCCCCCTTCCCCTGCAGTTCCAACCACCGGACCTTGGCTGCAAAAGGGAGGGCTGGCAGTGGGGGTCCCCAGGGGCCTGCCAGGAAACAGAGGTGTAGAGGAAGGGGATGGGAAGACCCAGTCCCACCTCAGAGAGATGACCTGGGAGGGGATGGTGACCCTTCTCTCAACATTTTGCCTAGCTCCTGTGCTCTGCCGGGAGCTATGCTGCGTGCTGGGCAAGAAGGCTGAAGTTTCAGGTCAAGAGTCCAGCTCCGAACCGCCAAGATTCAAGGCCGTGACTGCCTGGGGGTCGGTCTCCCACCAAAAAGACCAGAAATAAAACTGCCCTGAGGGTTTCATGGTCAAAATCAACCCAGCTGGGGTTACCCACACATTGCTTCTACAGGGTGTGCAGAGGTGGTGGGAGTAGGTGGGGAGAGGGCCGTTATATTCCCGTCCCTGAGATCCCACAGTCCCGTCACCTCTGGGCCAGCGGAGAGGAGCCAGGACCACAGAGGGGTCACTCCAGAGCATCCCACACAGCAGCTCTGTGGATCTTCCTGAATCTCCTTACGCCAATTAGATGTGTTAAAAAACACACCTTGTCAATAAAAATAAGCTAAAAGAAATTGCAGCCCTAGCGGGTTTGGCTCAGTGGATAGAGCGTTGGCCTGTGGACTGAAGGTCCGGGGTTCGATTATGGTCAAGGGCACGTGCCTGGGTTGCAGGCTCAATCCCCAGTAGGGGGCGTGCAGGAGACAGCCTATCAATGATTCCCTCTCATCTTTGATGTTTCTATCTCTTCCTTTCCCTTTCTCTCTGAAATCAATAAAAACATATTTTAAAAAAGAAAAAAATTGCAGCCCTGGGGGGTGGCTCAGTTGGCTGGAGCATTGTCCTGTACACCAAAAGATTTCAGGTTCAATTGCAGGGCAGGGCATATACTGAGGTTCAGGTTCGATGCTCCGTTGGGGCATGTATGGAAGGCAGCCAATCCATTGATGTTTCTATCTCTCCCCCACCCCACTTCCTCTCTCTCTAAAAAGATTAGTGAGTATGTCCTCTGGTTAGGATTTAAAAAAATAAGCAATTGCAAACATCATAGAGGATCAACTCCTCCCATCCAGCCACATTTCTGGGCTGAAAGCTCTGTCTTCCCATGGAAAAGAATGACCTGGCAGTGGACTGTACACATCAAGCACTGGACTTGGTTAAGGGGTGTGGCGTGACCCCGGAGCACTGCCAGAGAGGAGGAAAAATTACCACATGCTCGTAAAATCCTGCTTCTCCAAGCCTGTTAACAAACAGCATCTTTTTTTTTTTTTCCATCCTTAAGATTCTATTCCTGGAGAGCGAATGTTGGGGTCCAACCCCAGCAGGTCCAGGGGTCCCCAAAGGTGTGGACGGAGTCGGCGAAGAAGGAATGACACGGAGACAGCCTTCAGTTGATCAGCAGCCTAGTCAGGACCTCTAGCCAGGATCTCCAGTCAAAGTTCTGGTCGGGATCTCCAGCGAAGTTCTGGTTAGGATCTGATGAGGATCTGATGAGGATCTGATCAACAAACAGCATCTTTGTGGGACTAATTTTTCTGGTACCTTTTTTGGGGGGGTCATGGATTGTGACATGTTAAATGGTTTTTGTGGTTTTTTTTAAATCCTCATCCGAGGATATGTTTTCTTTTTAAATTATTATTTTTGAGTTTTATAGAGAGAGGAAGGGGGGAGAGAGAGAAACATCAGTGAGAGAGAAACATCTGTCGGTTGCTCCTGTATGTGCCTTGACTGGGGACTGAACCTGCAACCTTTTGGTGTCCCGGACGCCACTCCAACAACTTAGCCACCCGGCCAGGGCAATGTGTTAAATGATTTTTAAAAATTGGTACATGGGCTGCGGCGGCCCCAGGAACCGTGTGGGCCTGCGCTGCGATCTTCCTTTCCGATCCGCCATCGGTGGTGGAGTCACCACCAAGATGCAGATTTTCGTGAAAACCCTCACGGGAAGACCATCACTCTGGAGGTCGAGCCCTCAGATACAACAGAAAATGTAAAGGCCAAGATCCAGGATAAGGAAGGAATTCCTCCTGATCAGCAAAGACTGGTCTTTGCTGGCAAGCAACTGGAAGACGGACATACTTTGTCTGACTACAACATTCAACATTCATCTTGTGTTGAGACTTCGTGGTGGTGCTAAGAAAAGGGAGAAGTCTTACACCACTTCCAAGAAGAATAAGCCTAAGAGAAAGAAGGTGAAGCTGGCTGTTCTGAAATACTGCAACATGGATGAGAATGGCAAAGTCAGTTCCCTTCGTCAGCAGTGCCCTTCAGATGAATGTGGTGCTGGAGTTTTTATGGCCAGCCACTTTGACAGACATTATTGTGGCAATGTTGTCTGACCTATTGCTTCAACAGAAGACAGGTAATTGTATTTGCTTCAACAGAAGACAAGTAATTGTATTTGGGTTAATAAAAGACATGAACTAACATTAAAAAAAAAATTGGTACGTGGTACCAAAACTTCAGACAAAAAATAAAATTTAACTGGAACAAAAAAGGTAGTGATAATTCAATCTCCCGCCCCAGAGGCAGCCACTATTATAAATTTGTTGCATAGTCTGTAACAGTCCAAGCCAATAGAAACATAATGGGAAGCACAAATATGAGCCACATATGTAATTCAAAAAGTTTTAGTAGCCACATTAAAAATTAAAAAGAAACATAAAATTTTATTAGTTTACTTAATTTAATGTGTTCAAAATATTATCATTTCAACATATTAACATAAAAATTATAATACATTTTACATACTTTTTTCTGGTACCAAGTCTTCAAAGCCCAATGTACATTTTACACTCACAGCACATCTCAACTTGGACTTGGAATGTACTTTGCAAGCACTGGATAGTCACATATGAGATTAGTGGCTACCACAGTGAACAGGGCAGGTCTATACATTTACAACCATATGTATGCCCATATTTTCATAAATATACAAACAATATGAAACATTGTTTTACATCTTGCTTTCTCTATTTTACTTGGAGATAGATCTATATTAGTACCATCTACACTAATAAAAGACAAACATGCAAATTGACCATACCTTCGCTACACCTTAAGCCACCCCACCAACCAATCAGAGCAACTATATGCAAATTAACCCAACCAAGATGGTGGCCAGCAGCCAGGGAGCTGGAGCAAGCAGGAGGCTTGGTTGCCCCAATGATGGAAGAAGCAAAGCT